GAAATTTTCAGTTGTGGATGAGATCATTTACTCAATTTGATGAGAAGGAAAGATATAAATGGTTGTTGTTTGCTAACTATCCATTGCTACCTCAGCATTCCACATTTCCCCTGGTCTCTTGGGATTTATTCATTCATCTTGGTTTTCCTAAGGAAGGTTCCTATAAATTGGGTTCAAGTTTTGCTCTACCAATCTTTAGTATGAAAGTTATTTGTTTTTAACTCAGTAGATTCCCCAGAAGCTCTAATAGCAAAGTAGATGATTTCACATGATAGCATGCATCTCAGAAAATGACCTGAACAAAGAAAAATGTCATGGGTTGATATTGCAGACCCAAAGAAGACTGTATGGACCCACTCTTGAGCCTCCTCAGGTCTTTTCAAGGCTGTTTTCCCAGAGATGGTTTTCCAGTGGACATTTCTTTATGGTGGAGAGCAGATTAAACTCACTCCTGTCATTAAATCCCTCTAAAAATCAATCTTTGCAAGTCTTGGACATAGAGGTCTGGATTTTTCTTATGAGAGGCAAGAAATAAACTGCAGGCACACACTGCCAAAGCACTGATTTCAAATGCTTCCTTCAGAGTTATGTCATGTAAGGGCTTCTGACAAGTACCTGCCTGGACTATGGACCATCAACAACTTAACACTGAATAATTCTTCCCAGAAAATCTCGTTTTCAACAGAGAATGAGTTTTCCTGAAGTTGGACCCAAAGAATGAAGACCCATTTCCTAGCACCAAGCAGTTAAAAGAGCTGGAATATCTTGGTAATTTGTGAGATAGTTCTTTTGCGTAGTCTTTCATGAAACAGTTTAGGATTGTACTTGTGAGGAAGAACGCTGGTGTTGATGGAGAATGGTTTTTCTGAATGGAGGTCTACTACCTCTTGGAGGATAGTGCAGATCTTTTCAAAAATTGTAACCATTCCTCTTTAGAACCATCTTGTCTGAATGGTGCAGTTACAGCTTCTCCAGTAGATGGCGCCTCTAACTCTTTATCACCCTAGCTGCTTTAAATTTATTTTTCCATTACTAATTCAAATATTTTCCTGGACTTTTAAATAATCTGGGATGTTGTTGATTCTTTTTACTCTGTTAGAACAAAGGAACATTAACACAGTTTTAATAGATCAACAGAAGTGCGAAAAACTGGTATGTTCGTGGCAAGTTTTACTATAATTTTGTATGAAAGAAACCCAAGTGGACAGCTATGGAAGGAAGAACTGAGGGAAAGAAAAGCGAGATTCCAATTTACATTCCCCCCCCCCCTCCAGGCTCTGTTGGCACATTGTAGTTTCAGAACTTCTGCAGTGGAAGATTTTCCTTTGAATAAATAATTCACCCACCATGTTGAAACTGGACACATCGAATAGACATTACCAGTTTTCCCAAGGAAGTTTTCATTGCAAGAAGCTGGCAAAGTTCAGGAAAATGATGCAGCTCTGATGGTTTGTAAAGAGCTTGCAGCACTAATGGGCAATTTAAAGACTGCCTGGCAAGTGCTTGGGAAAACCCAGAAGGGTTTAAGAGCATCTAGGAGGGGCGCAAAGGAACTGAAGCAGGAGAGAGCTGGTTGAAGGTGGAGGGGAGGGACTAGTTAAAAGAACTAGAGGGAGCTGTCAGTTGCAAGGCTAGGGGAGGCTTGTTGACGGGGATGACCTAATCTGAAGGAGGAGCAGAAGCCAGACAGATAGTGACAGAATAGAGTGGGGGCAGAGGCCTGTTCCAGGGACAGCGGCGGGGACAGCATCTGCCAAGATGTGGGAAAGAGAAAGTAAAAGGTAAGATTAGTGTCTCCAGGGCCATTCAGAAATGTTGTGCATAAGCTCCTAATCCTTTTTTTTTTTTTTTTTTTGTGACCTAGAGCCCTTTGGCAGTCCAGTGAAGACTGTGAATCTCTTCTCAGAAAATTGTTTTATAATGTATAAAGTTAAGTGTGTTGGAATACAAAGACAACCAAATATGTTGGAATATACATAGTTATATATTGCAAAAATTAAAAAAAATTGTACTTCTTTATTAATGCATAACATTATAATATATAATGGTAGTTCTAATAGTTATCATACTTTTAAAGTAATGATGAACAGTGAGTGTCTTAGTCTATTTTCTGTTGCTATAATGAAATACCTGAAACTAGGTAATTTACAAAGAATACAGGTTTATTTGGCTCACACTTCTAGAGGCTGGAAATCCAAGAGAATAGCATTAGCATCTGCTCAGCATCTGGTGAAGGTCTTCTTGCTGCATCATAATATAGTGAAGGGTATCACATGGTCAGACAGAGTAAGTTAACCAAGGAACTCATTTTTACAACAAAACTATTCCCATGATAACCCATTAATCCATGAGTGGGTTAACCCATTTATGTGGCTCTGCCTTACTTCCCAAAGTTCCCACCTCTCAACAGTGCTGCATTAGGGACCAAATTTCCAACACATGGACTTTTGGGGGCCACATTCAAGCCCACAGCAGAAATAGTAATGTTATATAAAAATATCTGATTTCTTTTGGTGACAAAGTCATGGGTAGAGTTAGCTGTATTTTGTTGGTTATCTTTTTTATATATATATATTTTAGTTGTAGATGGACACAATATATTTTTTAATATTTATTTTTTATTGTAGTTGGACACAATATATTTGTTTTATTTATTTATTTTTATTTGTTTTATTTATTTATTTTTATGTGGTGCTGAGGATGGAACCCAGGGCCTCACTCATGCTAGGCAAGTGCTCTACTGCTGAGCCACAATCCCAGGCCCTGAACACAATATCTTTATTTTTTTATTTTTATATGGTGCTGAGATTCAAACCCAGGGCTTCACATATGCTAGGCAAATGTTCTACCACTGAGCCACAATCCCAGCCCCTAAGTGATCTACCACTGAGCTACAACCGCACTCCCTGCTTTCAATTAAAGACTATAAAAATAAGGATGAAATATTTTTTCCCAAGCAAATAATACTCAATACTATCCATGGACTCCTTGGATATATGTGGGATATGAGTAGAAACCTTACTTAGCAGCTGGTAGAGAGAATGGATTGAAGAGCAAAGCTGAAGACAGGTGACCTAAAACCTTTAGCCTATGGAGAGGTATCAACATTCCCAAGGAAATGTAGATCTAAACAGAAGGAGTCAGTAGAACCCAGCATAGAAACAACACTGCCTTCCAATCCTCAGGGCTGTAAACCTTGCTGAAGCATCTGTCAGATGTTGGGTTCTGGAATACTGTGCTGTGCAGACACCTGTGGGTGAAAACCTGTAAACCATTACCTCCAAAGATTAATAATTGCTGTTTATTAAGCCTGCACCATATAGGATGATGGTTAAGAGTCATGAAGAAGCCCACAGATTGGGTTATACTGCCCTTTCTGCAATTTGAGCAAGTTAATCTTTCAGTGCCTTCATCTGTAAAATGGAGTAATTAAAGTATCTATGGCAATCACAAGGCTATGGTGAGTTGAAGTGATGTAATTCATGAAGGTATAGTACCTGTAAATGAGGACTGTATAAACAAAGGCTATTAAATGTAAGTGAATGAATCTGCCTGACGACCTTCCTAAAAGGGAATCTATTCCCCCCGCCCCTCCCTGTTGTTCCTCCTCTCCTGTGAAATCCAGGAGAGGGTTTAACCCCTTCGGCTCCTCCAGGAAGGTCGACATATTCCTTTTCTTCAATCTGGCTTCCAGATATTAACAAAGTTTCACATGTCATCAACATTTAAAAAAATATTTCCCAAAGTATACATTTCTTGAGTACCTGCACTCTGCTGGAAACTGAAGGGAATTCTGATCATCCAGTCTCACGGTAGCTTTTGTATTGAAACCTGGTATTTCCTAATCAGGACAGGTATTAAAAATCCCAGGATAGGGGCTGGGGATGTGGCTCAGGTGGTAGCGCGCTCGCCTGGCATGCGTGCGGCCCAGGTTCGATCCTCAGCACCACAAAGATGTTGTGTCCACCAAAAAATAAATATTAAAAAAAAAAAAAATCCCAGGATAACAGTCTATAATAATCCAAACCTTTCATTTAGGAGCTGAATTACTTTACGTTGGGTCAGACAGGCAATAGAACAGATGAGAAGGAAATTATCATGGAATTCTATTGTTTTTTATTTCATAAGAAATTTAATCCACTTTTTTTTTTTTTGGTACTTCATAAGAAATTAAATCCAGCACATTTTCTGAAAGTTTCTTTCCCTCTCTTTTCTTCTTCTGTGAGGTAAGAATGCTTTAGAAGCTATATTTCAAATTCTTTGGGGAAAAAAAAAACCAATCCTGAGATTGAGAGCGCCACACTAAGTTGACTAGTAAATCATAGCCAGACTATTCAACTATTTCCGTTCTGTAAAAGAATTTTCATTACGAGTGCAAACCTGCGGGAGAAAACAAACAGCTTCGACGAGGATGGGATTCGAACCCACGCGTGCAGAGCACAATGGATTAGCAGTCCATCGCCTTAACCACTCGGCCACCTCGTCCCAGAAATCTACCTCTTCCTGGTAGGTATAGGGAGTGATACTAGGGGGATGTGACGCAACGTTATGGAAGTCGCCATTTTGTACGGAAGCCAACGTCGCTCACTTCTATAACGGACAATCGAAAGAAGATGGCCGCTTTCATGATGTTGGAAAGCCTTCGCTGGGAAGGGGACATCATTTTCAATAGAAAATGAGATGCATTTTAAGAAGTTAAACTGGCACAGAGGTTGGCAAAGAAGTTTAATTGAAAGCATGTTAGGAGCGGCCTTGTTCCGAAATCTGAGGGGCGGAGTCGACACGTAGAGCGGCTTTGCGCGTGCGCATCAGCGAGGCGGTTAGATTTGAATACTTACTCTGAGTTTGGCTGGGCGTTGTGAGGTGACGTTTTTGCCGAAGAGCGCGCGGACCCCAAACAAGTTAAGCTGGTGGGCTGTGGCAGGTAAGGAGAATGACCCTCTCTCATTCTCAGCTCCTGAGAGGATGTGGGTTTTGTCTGAGCACTTTGGAGGTCCGGCATGGGAGGTGGAGGATGCTGGGTCAGTCCCGCGGCCTCCGAATGCGGCGGGCGCTGGGCTCTTTTCTCACCCGGGCCTGCACTTTGTTCCTCCTCTCCTCCCCAGCGCTTTGGCACCCACACCTGGGCTTTCGGACCGCCTGGGATCGCTAGTCGAGCTCGCGGCGTCCTGGCCCGCCCACACCTTTTATTTTTCTTTTTGGTTGTTTGTATTTCTGACTTAAGCTTTTCTTTGCTATAACAAAGAATGATAAGTTTTCGGCTCTCATTGGTTAGCTAGCAGCACAGAACCGGTTTTCGGTTTTCTGCAGATACTGTTAACAAAGTCAATTTAAGCATCCCCTACTTTTGTTTTTTTAAATCTTCTGACCGGCTCAGGGTCAAAGCCCCTTTTTCTTGCTGTTTATTTAAATATTAGAGTTTGGGAAGAAAAATGCTGCTGTTTGGAATTGTAAAGATGGGTTTATTAGGCGTTAACAGAGATAAAGGGTGGTGCGGATGAAGACCAAAGTAACTTTTCAAATCGGTTGAATTGGATCAACTGAATTCCTCATATTTATTAGGTTCCTTGTCTTGTGCTAGGGCTGGGAGTCCCTAAGTCCCAGAAAGGGAAATAATTAGTACATACAAAATAACTGATACAAGACAGAATGTAAGGAATTATAAGACATTCCAAAGAGGTATGATAAACAGAAAGGAGAACTGATTTGATGCTTCTGACGATGGAGAATTAAAGTGGATTTCATGGAGAAAATGGCATTTGAAGTGGAACTTGGAGGAATGATTTACAGAGATGGAGAATTAATATTATAAGATTTTGAAAATTAAAGGTTAGGTTCAAAGCAATAAAATTTTTGACCCTTTAAATGACTGGAAATGTTCATAGGGTAACAGATACATGTAAATTGAGTAAAAATGGAATGATAGTCTTTAATGATGTGTTGAATACTAATAAACTTGAAGATACTCTAGATATTGATAGTAGGATGGTGCTCTCCAGTAGAACTTTCACAGTGGTAATACTTTATATCTGTGCTGTCCAACACAGTATCCATTAACTTCTGTGGCTATTGAACACTTGAAATGTGGCTGTTGTGATCAAAGACCTGAATTTTATTTTAATTAATGTAAATGTAAATAACTCCTATATTGGACAGCACTGGTCTATAACACTGGACACTGGAAAATATTTACTCTAGGTATTGGTGGTGTAAATTCAGGAGTAGACAGAGAGCCAGATAGTAAATATTTCAGGCTTTGCGGGCTGCATAGTCACTGGCATGGTCTCTGTTACATTCTTTGTTTTGTTGTTGTCTTCGTTTCTATACCTCATTAAAAAATTAGCTTTGTTTTCTATGCCTCATTAAAAATGTGAAAACTGCTTTTAGCTCAAGGGCTGATTTGGTTTAGTGGCAATGGTTTACAGTCCCCTGGATTATTTCTATTACAGGTTAGGAAGCTTTATTCGTTCAGGTGACATCCTTAGTCAATCAAACAAACACAAAAACCTGGTAATTTTATTTCAGTAGTTAAATACAAACAGCTTAATGAGTATATATGTTCTAACAATTCATAGCCATTTGAAAAAATACGCATAAATTGCAGGAAAAGAACATATTTACTTTTTTTCTTAAATAATCATGGTTACTAGGGCTGGGCCTGGGGCTCAGCAGTAGAGCGCTTACCTCACATGTGTGAGGCATTGGGTTCAATCCTCGGCACCACATACAAATAAATAAATGAAATAAAGGTATTGTGTCCATTTACAACTAAACAAAATATTAAAAATTAGATATGTGTACCTCTTAGATACTGTACAAAATCTCAAACCTTGGAATCAGATTGTACATAGCCACTCATTTCCTGAGCCACTTTGATATAAACAAACAAACAAAAAACTGATTTTATTTATATCAATTGCCAAAAATCTAGCTTCACAGTGATATATTATTAAATATGAATGGGTACTATTTTGAGCTAATGATTCACATGGTGCCTGTCAGATGTTGAAAATGGGGTGTTTCAAATTAAAAATAAATACCTCTGTGCATATGCTGCCAGCACCCTGGATGCCAGATGCACAGTTTGGGGGCTAATCAGTAAAAATTACTACGTAATTAATAGTTCAGCTGGACTGTGTTTTATAAGTGAGACTTAATATGATACTCTGGGGTCTCCTATTTCTGTTGAGGGTAAAACTTAAACAGTTAAATATTAAGAAGATGGGACGTCAGTAAACTTTGAATCTCATCAGATAATCAAGTACTAACCAATCTCTAGGTTCAACAGGAGTTGTGCTCAATGACTATTTCAAACAGTCATTTTGATGTTTAGGTGACCTTGAGCTGATAAGTATTTAGTATTTTTATCTGGAGTTTGAATATGTATACTGAGTTTGAAAATATTCCCAAAGAAAATAAAAATATGCTGGTTGGTAATCATAAAGTCAATTTTATTTTTAATTGTGGTTTTGAGAATTAAACCTTGCTCTACTGCTGAGCTAATTACCCAGCCCCAAATAATTGTTTCTTCATTACTCATTCAGCAAGTATTGAGCTCCTTCTATTTACAAAGCACTGCTAGCTGTAGTAGTGAACATAAGATTCATCAGCTCTATTCTCATAATTTACTGTTGGAGCAAGGGTAGTTTGTGGAGCTAATAGAAATAACAGACATTTATTTATTTATATATTTATTTATGTATGTATGTATTTGTGGTACTAGGAGTTGAACTTAGGGCCTCAAGCGTGGAAGGCAGATACTACCACTGAGCTACATCCACAGCCCTATAAAGCGTACTTTTAATTTATGAAAGAGACACTCAAAAGGAGGTATACATAATGCTACCAAGAGGATTAACTCAACACCTTTATTTATTTTTCTGTGGTGCTGAGGATTGAACCCAGTGCCTCACATGTGCTAGGCAAGTGCTCTGCCACTGAGCTATAACCCTGGCCTTTTCTTGTCTTTCTTACCAAGAGAGAATAGCAAATATAAACACATAGATTTAGGGAAGAGTTCTGTGTGTTTAGGGATTGAAAGAAAGGCTAGGGGAATAGTATAGTCAGAGAGGAGACTGGTAAGAGATGAAATATAAAGCCTAAGGCAAGCAGGGACTAGATCTGGTAGAACTCTATAGGTCTTAGTAAAATGTTTATTCTCAGCACAATGGAAAGCCACTGAAAGACTGAGGAGATAACTAACAGCTGTTTAGAAAGAAAATTGTAGAGGGATAAGAGTGAAAGCAAGGATACCAGGGAGGTAGATATTATGATATTTTATGTAAGAGTTCATAGTAGATTGAACTATAGAAAATAGAAATGAATGGATTGAAAAAATGTACTGAAAATAGAACTACTAAGACTGGATGAATTAAATAGAAATGGCTGTTGCACTTGTTTGATCTTACAGAAGTTCAACCATTAAGTTGATGTTTACTATTGTTTTTTTAAATAGATACTGTTAATTCAGACTCTGCCTCTAGCTTGGTAAGGGTTTTGTTTTGTTTTTTGAAGAACAAGAAAGGATGTTAAAGTTCATACTTTTTTTTTCATCTGTTATTATATGATTTTCATTTTTAATCTCTTAGTATGATAAAATTTCAAGGTTTATTTTCCAGAGTTAAACCAGTTTTGCGTTTCTGGAATAAAGCAAACATGACTACGATACAATATTCTTTTTCCTAATAATTTATTTAGAATTTTCTTATTTATGATAGTGAGATTGGCATGCAATCTTTACTTTCTTGTACTGTATTTATCTATTTGTGCATGAGTGTGTAGAGAAACGGAGGCAGTTGCAAAAAAGGGTGCTTAATTTTCATTTCCCATGGTTTAATGCTAAAACTAGACAAATCAAAATTTAGCAATATGAACAATTTATCTAGACCAACAAGGCACATATAAAAATATGTACAAAGTGAAAGTGGTTGCTTTTGGGAAGGAGGAGTTTAGAATGCAGAAAGCTGCTGGTTTAAAAAGCAGCAATCGGTGTCTGTTTTAGCTATCTAATGGACAAGTTTTTATTTTAACCAGTAAAGTTCATGTCATTCTCATCAATATTAGTACAGATTTTATCTTGAATATAAGAATTTTCTGGGAGTGTTAATTAAAATGCAGTAGTTTGAACTCCTTGAAGTATCTCATATTTTAGAGCTCATATATTTTTCCTTCTATTTTTGGTCTTCTTAGAAAGTAACCCTAAAATCTCAATAGTGTTCTTATTTCCTCATAGATTGTAATTTTTCTTCCTTCTTATGTACCTTTTCTAATACTGTGTATTTATTTCAGGAAAAAAAGTTTTCTTAAAATATGGATGGGGTGTCTTCAGAGACTAATGAAGAAAAGTAAGTTCATGATTCAGTGTATCTAAAAATGTTATATTCTATTAGAGAATGATACTTTTCCAACTAGTAGGACCTGTTAATGAACTTCAGAAATATTCTTCCTTTGTGTTTCAGGGAAAACAAGAATATATAATAAAGTGATAATATAAATTCATCAGAGTCAAAACTGAGGGACTTTAGATACCACCTATCATCTCTTGTTTTTTTGAGTAAGAGTGAGGAAACTGAGGCTCAGGAAGATTAAATGAATTATCTAAAATTGGTGACCTGTTTGTAGCCTACAAACATTTTACTGGCCTACAAATTAAAAAAAAAATTTTTGATTAGTTGCCAAAATTGCAAAATCTCATGGTTTCATAGAATAATTGGATTTTTAGCTTCTCTTGAAAAATCAAATGTGACAACACTGGGATCATAGTCTTGCTTGGTGCAGCTAGCAAAGTAATGGCTGTGACCTTTAGACCAAGCAGAAAATTTCTAATTCATTGTAGTCTCTACAATATGCATTTTCCTTATACCTAACAAATTATGTTTGGCCTCATGATATTTGGGTTTTCAAAACCTGGTATATAAATCACACAGTAGTAAGAATCAGAGGCAGAGAATCTCTTGATTTGTAGCCCACTTATCTTTTTTTATTTTTATTTTTTAGTTGTCAATGTACCTTTATTTATTTTTATGTGGTGCTGAGGACCGAACTCAGTGCCTCACACATGCTAGGCATAATTGAGGCATAACTCCAACCCCCCATTTATCTTTTAATTGTACCTCTGTAGGTATAGTAAATTATGTTGTACTGGTTATTATTCAAGAGATAGTCTTGTAGTATACAATATATATTTTAAAACACTGAATTACTAAATACTTGGTCTTATACTGTAATACAAGTATAAAATTTTGCTGGCCAGAGCAAAAGAAAGCAATGGCCAGTTTTAAAGTATGTAAAGGGTGATGTGATGATGACTTTTGGAAATTCATTCTTTTACCTATGTATACATAATTTTTTTTCCCTTTCTCAGTGACAATAGAGAGAGACCTGTTAGAAGACGGCATTCCTCAGTAAGAAACAATTATTGTTACCTTTTATTAAACAATAATGATATACTACAATAATTTTTACTGTGGCCTCACCTTCCCACTTCCACTAGCTTCCTATGGATAAAGACTCAAAAAAAATTATTCATTTGATACTAGGATTTGAACCCAGGAGTGCTCTAACACTGAGCTACATCCCCATCTCTTTTTAGATTTTATTTTGAGACAGGGTCTCACTAAGTTGCCCAGGCTGGCCTGGAACCTTGATCCTCTTGCCTCAATTTTCTGAGTCACTGGGTTTATAAGTGTGTTCCACTGTGCCCTGCCAAGACTCAAATATTTAACCCAAGTACAAAAATCTGAAAACCAGTCGGGTGCAGTGGTACACGCCTATAATCCCAGTGGCTCAATAGGCTGAGATAGGAGAATAGGGAGTTCAAAGCCAGCCTCAGCAATGGTGAGATGCTAAGCAACTCAGTGAGACCCTGTCTCTAAATAAAACACAAAATAGGGCTGGGGATGTGACTCAGTGGTCGAGTACTTCTGAGTTCAATTCCTGGTAGTATAAATAAATAAGGGCTAGGGATTTTGCTAAGTGGTTAAGCACCCCTGGGTTCAATCCCCCAGTACCCCCCCAAAAAAATCTGTGAACCAAAATTCATATTTTATAAATTTTATTATAATTTAATGCCTAAATTATACCTCAATAAAGCTGTTTAAAATTATATTTAACCTGATATACAAAGCTATTACAAGACACAAAAATCTAACCCAAACTGATTTAGGTATATAATATATATCAGTTTATGAAACTGAAAAATCCAAAGATAGTGATGGCTGTAGGCATAACTTATGGATGAGAGAGTTCAACAATGGAACCTTCTAGGATTTCCTTTTTCATTTTCTATTCTGACTGCTTCCTCTGTGTAATCTCTGATAGCAGCCAGATCCTCTCCCTGTGATGACTGTGATACATCTAGCTCTCCCTACTCCCGGGTTCACATTCTGCCCCAGCCCCTTTTTAAATTTTGAAATAGGATCTTATTAAATTGTGGAGGCTGACCTTGAGCTATGCATACTGCTGTCTCAGCCTCCTAAGTAACTAGGATTAAAGGCATGGGTCATGCCCCTCACCTCTATCAAACAATTACTGTGTTGTTCTAGACAAGGCTATGAGTTATATATACCCTGGAGTTGGTGTGGAACTTCACACAGACCATGTTGGATGAGAGTAGGCAAAATAATTAGGGAGAGTAGGCAAGGAGAAATGAACAAATGCCTAATATTTTAATCTGCTACATAACTCTAAGCAATATGACTTTGAAGGATTTCATATATTTTAATGGAAATTTTGGTTTTCTATTCTTGTTATAAATTGAAATGAAATAATTATTAACAGATATGCCAGATTTTCTTGAATAATTGTAATATTACCTCTAGATTTTGAAACCCCCAAGGAGTCCTCTTCAGGACCTCAGAAATGGAAATGAAATAGTTCAGGTAAGTCTCTAGGCAATTGCTTTATAGATTTCTCTTTTCAGTGATTCTCCCCTACCCCAAGTACTGGGTCTTACACATGCTAGGCAAACACTCTGTTACTGAGCTACAGCCCCAGCCCTTTTTAAAATTTATTTATTTTTTAAAAAAATTTTGAGACAGAATCTCCTTTAGTTGCCCAGGATTACCTCAAACTTGTGATCCTTCTGTGTCAGCCTCCCAAGCAGCTAGGATTACAGGCATGTGCCACCACATTTGGCCTTCTATGATTTTTGTGTGTGTGTGGGGGCGGGGGGATTGAACCCAGGAGCACTCAGCCACTGAGCCACATTCCAAGTCCTATTTTATTTAGAGACAGGGTCTCACTGAGTTGCTTATTACACCTCACTTTTGCTGAGACTGGCTTTGAACTCACGATCCTCCTGCCTCAGCCTCCTGAGCCGCTGGGATTACAGGTGTGTCACCTGTAGCTTAATCAGGAATTTTATTTGCTATATGAAAAGAGAACATCATCCCATCTGATTCAAATGTATGATATGTCAAGGTCATTGTACTGTCATGTGTAACTAATTAAAACAAATTTTTAAAAAAAGAGAGAACATCATGAATGATTCCTATTTGAATGTGTAAAAAAGACAAGCATTCCATGACCTTCAGGTTAAAATGCAACACTTGCTGGCTGGGGATGTAGCTCAGTGGTAGAACACATCTATCGTGCATAAGGCCCTGGGTTCCATCTAGAGGACTGCAAAAAAAAAAAAAAAAAAAAAAAAAAATCCAAATACATGATATACTGGCATTTGTGATTCTTAGGCCTATTTGCTTTTCCAGACTTTTTTCATGTTACTTTCACATGTTTACCTCACCACTCAGAATTGCTTATTATTCCCCAAACAAAAAATAAGTTATTACATCTGCAAGTATTTATGTATGCTATTCCCTTTGTCTGCATGGCTGGTCCTTCATTCCTTTTTCTGCCAAGATTTGAACAAAAATATTTTTTCAAACATACCAAAAAGCAAAGAATTTTACTGTATATTCATCACCTAGATTCTAGAATTAACATTTAATAATGCTTACTTATCATAAATACTCTTTTCTCTTTGGTGAAAGTAGGGTACTAGGGGTTGAATCCAGGTGTGCTTTACCTCTGAGCTGCCTCTTCTGTGCCCCCCCACACACACACCTGCCCTTTATTTTTTTTGAGACAGGATTTTACTAAGTTGCTGAGGCTGGCCTCAAACTTGTGTTCCTCTGCCTCAGCCTCCCAAGTTATTGGGATAACAGAAGTGGACCACATGCCTAGCTATATCCCCCTTCTTTATTTAATTAATTTCTATTTTTCCTTTAAGATTTATCTTCTCATAGAAGATCATCAATTTAACATTTTATTATTATAATTTTTTACTTCTGTCTATTCTAAATTGAGAATTCCAGGCTACATAATTCCAAGTGCTCACTCTACATTGGCTTCTCTAATTCTATTTCTTAAATGCATCAAGCTTTTCTTGCTTCAGGGTCTCTGCACACATTCTGCATAGAATCCGTTCCCCTTACTGCACTCCTTTTTATTTATTTTAATTTTGAGATAGGGTTTCACTAAGTTGCTAAGGCCGGCCTTGAACTTGCAGTCCTCCTGTCTCAACCTCCTGAGTCTCTGTCCTTTATTAACTTTTTCATCTGGCTAACTTCTAACTGATCCTTCAGGTCTCAAGTTAAATGTACTTTCTTAAAGAAAACTTCCCTGATTTTTACATATTTATTGGACATAATATCTTTATTTTATTTATTTATATGTGGTGCTGAGGATCGAACCCAGGGCCTTGTATGTGCTAGGCGAGCACTTTACCGCTGAGTCACAACCCCAGCCCCACTAAATTAGATTTTTATATGTAATTTTCCTTTATAACACCTTGCACTCTTTGAATTTTATTTGTGTGAATTTGTTGTCATTAGTCTAATCCCCCATGGAATTGTATCCATGTTATTTATCTCTATTTTTCCATCAGTAGTACAGAATCGTGTGTGTGTGTGTGTGTGTGTGTGTGTGTGTGTGTGTATTTTTGAAAAATTGAACCAGTGTTGAATGAGTAAATGTCAGACTTACGCAGCTTTAAAACCAACAGGATCTTATCAATAATCTTGAATATAGTTCCTGCATTTTATAGATGAGAAATACAAGATCCAAAGAGGTAAATGTTTTATCTGTGGTGTTTGCTAGGGTCTTAAGTATATAGACTCCTTGTTGCAAAGGGGATACCATTCCTTATTATTTATTATAATAAGGCTTATACTCAGGTATCCACAATTTATCTGGTGAAATTCTCTGTGAATTTATCTTTTGTTTTTTGTTTGGGGTCTATGTGAAAAATGTTTATTCTTGTTAAGAAGGAAGGTAGGAAAGAAAAATAGTATATTAAAATGAAAAGATGTTCAACATTACTGATTATTAGGGAAATGCAAATCAAAACCACAATAAATAAACCACAATACCACCTTACAGTCTTAGGATGGCTGTTGAAAAATAAAAAATAACAAGTATCAGCAATGATATAGAAAAATGCACCTATGTCTATTGTTGATGGGAATTAAAATGATATTTGCTGTGAAAAACAGTATGGTAATTCCTCAATAAATTCAAATTAGAATTACCATATAATCCAACAAGAAACAAAAGGAACATCTTGGAGAGAGATTTGAGTACCTATGTTTGCAGTAACATTATTCACTGTAGCCAGAAAGCAGAAGCAAACCAGATGTCAGTACGTGGATAATTGGGTAAACAAAATGTGGTATTTCCATACAATGAAATTTTTTAAAAAAGGAAAGCCAGGTGGTGCCTGTGATTCCAGTGACTCAGGAGGCTGAAGGACCAAGATTACAGGTTCTACAGGTTCAAGGGTAACCTGGGCAACTTAGTGCAAGAACCTGTGGATGTAGTTCATAGCTTATTGGTAAAGCACCCCTACATTCTATCCCCAGGACTTTAAAAAAAAAAAAAAAGGAAATTCTGACATACCATGCATGAACAAAAGGTAATTTTTTTTTTTTTTTGTACTGGGGATTTTACCCAGGGATGTTTAACAATGAGCCACATCCCTAGTCCTTTTTACTTTTTAATGTTGAAATAGGATCTCATTAAGTTGCTCAGGGTCTCACTGAGTTAGAGGATGGCTTTGAGCCTGTGATCCTCCTGTCTTAGCCTTCCAAGTCACTGGGATTACAGGTATGTGCCACCATGCCCAATACAAAAAGAAAAATTTCATGTTATGATTTTAATGAGGTATCTACTATAATCAGATTCATAGATACTAAAAATAGAATGGTGATTGCTAGGAATTAGAGGTAGGAGAGAATGGGGAGTTTTTTTTTAATGTTAAATGTTATAGTTTCTGTTCTGCAAGATGAAAAGAAATCTCGAGATTGGTTATATAACAGGGTGGATGTATACACAACAGTATTAAACTGTATACTTTAAAATCGTTAAGATGATAAATTTTATGTTACATGTATTTTTTAATACTTTTAGTTGTAGATGGCACAATATCTTTATTTTATTTATTTATTTTTATGTGGTGTTGAGGACCAAACCCTCTACCTCACACGCGCTAGGTACACACTCTATCACTGAGCTAAAACCCCAACCCTTTATTTTATTTTTGAAACAGTATGCCAAATTGCTGAGACTGACCTTGAACTTGTGACCCTCCTGCCTCAGCTTCCCAAGTCGCTGGGTTAACAGGCACCATCATGCCCAGCAAATTTATGAAAATTTATTTAGTCATGGTGTTTCATGCCTGTAATCCCAACTACCCCAGAGATTTAGGCAAGGGGATCCCAACTTAAGAGCAGCCTTTACAATTTTAGCAAGACCCAATCTGAAAATTAAAAATAAATAAATAAAAAGGACTGGAGATATAGCTCAGTGGTAGAGTGCCACTGGGTTCAACCCCCTAATACTATTAAAAATTTTTTTAAATTACCATAATAAGTAACATAGCAATTGTTTTGTCTCCAGTCTTTTTTATTGTATGTTGTGTTGGTATGCTTAAAAAATAAAAAAATTAACTCACATTGAAGACCATATTCATGTACATTAAGTGTTTCTACATTGAGATAATTTGGGTAACCACATATCGAATTCAGAATAAGACTTGATCCCTGTCTTTGGTGCTTTGGACTCCTAATTCACAGTGGTTTCATTAATAACCACACCATATTTTCTTTCCTTTTAGGAATCCAATACTTTAAGAAATAAGAAAAGCTCTCGCAGAGTCAGCTTTGCAGATACTATAAAGTAAGTTGAAAGAAATAATTCAAATGTTATAGGTAATGTTTTTTTTTGTGGGTCAAATTGAAAATGTTAGAATGATTTGGATAATCTATGGTTTTTATTATGTATTAGAGAATGGTTACTTAAAAGATTCTTACTGGCATTATGTTTAAAAGAGAAACATTGAGAAACAATGATATCCACTTTTACTACTGTTATTTAACATATTGAAGGTCCTAACCAAAAATACTAGAGAAAGTAGTTGGGGTTTTAAATATTAGAAATATTAGGGTAAACCTATTGCCTTTTGTAGATTAAATGATTTTTTATTAGGAAAATCCAAGAATATCAACTGAAAGTTACTATTGATAAGTAGCAGGATACAAAATTAATATATGGAAACCAATATCTTTTATTCTATTATTTTACTCTTTTTTTTTTTTTTTTTGCCTTGCTAGGGATTGAACCTAAGGCAAGTGCTCTACCACTGAGCTATATCCACAGGCCACTATAATTCTTATACATAGTGTTCTCATTATCATTTTCTTGATGTTCAACAGTGTATTCATCTTTCCTGTTTAATTCAAAAGAAATCAAAGATGTTCTTTTTATTTTTTTTTTTAAGTTTTTTATATTACTGTAGATTGATCAATACCTAAGGCCTCACACATGCTAGGCAAGTGCTGTACCACTGAGAGCTACATTCCTGATTCCCCAAAGTTGTTTAATTTAGAACTGAAAAATTTTTTAGGCATTAGGGGCATTTGTCATTCAATTTTAGTTTCTTTTATAGGCAGAGAATGTTAATCTGTATTATTTTTATTTCTACAGAAATTCTTTTGAAAGGATTCTCTTTAGAGAATTTCTATAGAAATTCCAGGTGCAATGATGTATGCTTGTAATCCCAGTGACTCAGAAGGCTGAGGATTTCTGGCTTGAGACCAACCCCAGCAACTAAGCAAGACCTTGTCTCAAAATACAGAAGGATTGGGGAGGGGCTGGGGTTGTGGCTCACCATAGAGTGCTCACTTAGCATATACAAG